AGCCGGTGCAGGGCAAGGGGACACTGAGCTGAGGGGGGTCCCTGCCCTGGACCCCCCTCATCCCCGCATGTGGTGCCGGTGCCTGGGAGCCGGGATGTGTCTCCCGGCATTTCCTAACGGACGCCTTTGGTGCAGTGTTGGCTTTCAAAGGGCTGGATCAGCTCCACAGCCGGGCAGAGCGTGGGAGGAGGGTGCCTGTCCCGCCTAGGAAACACAAAACAATGGGAGAGGAACAATGGAGCCTCCTTCCCCTCACCCGAAATACCAAACGCCACCAAAACGTGGCAGAGCTCCAAGCAGTGTGCTGGGGCCACTCTCGTGTCCCCTGGCCTGGGGAGGGGATGCTGCAGGAGGGTGAGTGCCAAGGAGCATTGCCAAGGGGCTGCTCTGGCCTGATGCCACTGCCAGCTGGCATTCCCAGCTTTGGAAACCATGTTTGAGCCAGGGTAGTGGTGTTGCAGCACGTCTGTGCCTTGGGGAATGATTTTGGAAGCTGCCTGACCTTCCCAGGAAGATTTAGAAAAGCATCCATGTACCCATACTTGCCAGGGTTTAGTCAGGCAGAGAATGGGTCTGTTTGGTACTTGTGTGGTGCCAAACATGAGGAGATGCTTGTCCAGAGCTGGGAGTCCTGGTGTGGGGAGGGATCTGTGCCTGGCTGGGGCCTGCACCCCCAGCATCCCCTCGCCTGGCCCTGGTGCCACCAGCAGCCAAGTTTTTCCATGCATGGATGTAACAGGCACCTGGGAAAGCAGGGCTGGGCACCCTGAGGGGCTGGGGCTGAGTGTGACACACATGCAGAGCTTGGGGACATTCACTGAGCTGCAGGCAGGTTGTGCCAGGCTGCCCCATGGAGGAGCTGCTGTCCCTGGTGAAACAGCCTTTGCACAGCACCCCAGCCAAGCACATCTGGCTGAAAGCTGTGGGAGCTGCCCCGGCAGTGAGGACACCAGTCTGGAAACACTTCCCCCTGGGAGAGATTCCCTGTCCTGTCCAGGCTCTGCTCCTGGCACCATCAGTGGGTGCTGGCAATGCTGGGCTGGCAAGGGGACAGTGCCCAGGGCTGCTGCCTGCCCTGGGTTGAATGGCAGGAGCAGGGCTGGGAGCTCTGTACCCACCAGCCAGGGGAGAAGGGTCCAGTGACCCACATGAGGAGACAGGACTTGCAGAGGGCAAGGGCTGGCAAAGCACCTCTGTGGCCACCACAGCTCCCATGACCCATTGCTCAGGGAGCCTGGAATGGGGTCAGGATATGGCATTGGTACCCAGGGTCTGGGTGACACAGGGTCTATCTGCTGCTGTCGTGGGCTGGCATGAGCAGGGAGGGGCTCTGCTGGGCAGGGGGCTGGCTCTGGGGCCCCCAGGGCCCTGCAGCAGCACTCCCACCCCACATCCCCCCTCCGCTTGTTGCTGTTGTCATCTCTAGTATCGCACAGAGATGTGAAAGGCTGGAAGTCGCCTCTTTTCCTGCCAGGTTAAATCGTTCCCCAGGAATGTCGATTATTCCCACAAGTCAACTTTCCCCTCCACAGTATGTGTCCAGGGGTCAGGCCTGGCACGACATGAAAGTGGTGGGGATTCAATAACCTAGAGCCGGGGAAGGGCTGCAGTCCAAGCCCCGCCATGCGCGGGGTTTTATGGAGGCAACATGCCTTTCCCCATTTGTTTCCTATAAACAGCACATGGTAATATTTAGTAGGTTTCAAACAGAGCTTTTTGCATATTCTCCCTTGTCTGCAATGAGCTACTCGGTAGTAGACAGTTTTAATTTACTTAAATGCAATTTTTGCTTTTTGTTCTTCCAGAGGGTCGGGGCTGGTTTTGACCCAGTCGCCCCAGCAAATTACTGCACAACTCTGTGATTCCCGGGGGGCTGGTGGGAGCAGGGACCCCCCTCTGCAGGGGTGAGTGTGTGCCCTTGCTTACCAAAGGAAAAGGGACCCCGTGTGAGCTCAGTGCTGCAAAATGACCCCCTTTTAGCTGCATTGTCAGCAAGGACACAGGGCCTCCCCCTCCGGACCCTCCAGGATGTGTCCCCCCCTGCCCAGGGCTCTCGGGAGCCGCGTGTGAGTGTTTGGGGCTGTTCTGGCTGGTGAGGTTTGGCTCTGGCCATGGGCCGGGCAGGCAGCACGTGATGCTCCCCAGCTCCAGCCAAGTGAACCAATTTATTGCAAAAGCTGCTGGTGGTGGCTGGGGTGCAGCCCTGGGGGCTAATCAGGGGTGTGAGTTGCCCCTGTTGTCATCTCTAGTATCGCACAGAGATGTGAAAGGCTGGAAGTCGCCTCTTTTCCTGCCAGGTTAAATCGTTCCCCAGGAATGTCGATTATTCCCACAAGTCAACTTTCCCCTCCACAGTATGTGTCCAGGGGTCAGGCCTGGCACGACATGAAAGTGGTGGGGATTCAATAACCTAGAGCCGGGGAAGGGCTGCAGTCCAAGCCCCGCCATGCGCGGGGTTTTATGGAGGCAACATGCCTTTCCCCATTTGTTTCCTATAAACAGCACATGGTAATATTTAGTAGGTTTCAAACAGAGCTTTTTGCATATTCTCCCTTGTCTGCAATGAGCTACTCGGTAGTAGACAGTTTTAATTTACTTAAATGCAATTTTTGCTTTTTGTTCTTCCAGAGGGTCGGGGCTGGTTTTGACCCAGTCGCCCCAGCAAATTACTGCACAACTCTGTGATTCCCGGGGGGCTGGTGGGAGCAGGGACCCCCCTCTGCAGGGGTGAGTGTGTGCCCTTGCTTACCAAAGGAAAAGGGACCCCGTGTGAGCTCAGTGCTGCAAAATGACCCCCTTTTAGCTGCATTGTCAGCAAGGACACAGGGCCTCCCCCTCCGGACCCTCCAGGATGTGTCCCCCCCTGCCCAGGGCTCTCGGGAGCCGCGTGTGAGTGTTTGGGGCTGTTCTGGCTGGTGAGGTTTGGCTCTGGCCATGGGCCGGGCAGGCAGCACGTGATGCTCCCCAGCTCCAGCCAAGTGAACCAATTTATTGCAAAAGCTGCTGGTGGTGGCTGGGGTGCAGCCCTGGGGGCTGAGCAGGGGTGTGAGTTGCCCCCCCCCACAGTGGGGCAATGCCCTCCCTCAGCCATGGGCTCCTGGGGAGTATGAACACCCTTTATACAGGCAAGGAGGGCACCAGTCCCTGCTCCTGGAGAGCTGGCAGCTTCTCTTCCTTGGCTGCAGCACTGAGTGGCTGATGGCAGTTGTAGAGCAGCCCCTCACTCAGCTGGCACGGGGGTGCCTCCCAAGGTGTTTTTTTTTGCCACTATGAATGTCCACAGCCCGTGTCTGAGCTCTCTAGGCAGCGCGGGCTGGCGGCAGCAAACCCCTGCTCACACACGGGCATTCCCAGGGCAGAAAAAGGCCAGTCCTCAAACAAGCAAACATTGACTGTCTGGTTTCCCCGTCAGCCCCCACTCCTGCTCCCCAGCCACTCTCCCTCCGTGCACTGAATACGGGCAGGATTCCCTCGGGCAGTGGCTTTCAGGCCTCCAGCAGCCAGACATTCCTGGTGCGGCGCTGCCGTCACCCTGCAGCCCCGCACCAGCACCCACCTCCCTGCCAAACAAAGCAAGAGGAAACCAGAGTTGCCACTGGGATTCTTTTAATGCAATTAATGCAGTCTTAAGATGCCTTGTAATGGTCAATGATGAGAAATGACGGACGGATCTTTTTCCTCTCTGCAGCAGCACCTCCAAACCCCACCCGGTGTCCTCCAGCTGCTCTCCCAGCAACTCGCTGCCCCTTCACAGCACACGGAGCATCCAAACCCTCCCACCAAAGGGACTCATTTGGGGAAAAAAAAGGGACAAGCAGAGCCATCCAGAGAGGCCAAACAAACAGCAGCACAGGAGGCACCTTGATCTCCCACCTTACACTCAGGCACGACCCTAGAGAGGTGTGAGAGCTGCCAACTGACCTGCCTCTGGGGATCTGTGCCTTCATGCCATGTAAAGTGACTGGAGACCTGAACCTCTGACTGTGTTTTCTGGCTGAATGGGATGGCAGAGGAAGCTGACTGCCCAATATCTTGCTTTTTGAGCTATATGACTCCTTTGTGTATTTATTTTATGGAACAGCAGGTGCTGCAGACTGCTGAAGCTTGCCAAGTAATACGGGAAATCCTGCTGCAGCCTAAAGATGTGAGAACCCACCCAGCCCCACCCTCCCACCAGGCAGTGTCCATTCACCGTGACAGAACAGGCTCTACCTGAGGAAACATATCCAGTCCCTCCCAGTGCTTGGCCTGAGTTTTGGAATGGTGGAATTGCAGCCACTTTCCTGTTCTTCATTTAAAATATTTCCTGCTGCTCTACTGTGACGTCCAGGTCCTCCCCTTTCAAGAGGGGAGTCAAGAGGCTGCTGGGGAAGAGAAAATGCAGAACAGGGACCTCCTAAACCTACCCCAAGTGAGTACCTGAACTCAAAGGGAAATCTCAGACCACCCCCTTGTGCCAAATTTGCATTTTCCTAGAACTTCAGAATCAAATGCAGGAGGCCAGTTTGGTCTACAGAAATACTACGTGCTGATCTCCAATGAATTTTAAACACCTCTTTTTTAAGGACAGCGTTGGAAAGGAAATCATTGGGCTCTTACAGCTTGGTCTCCAATTCTGGCAAGGAAACAGATTTGGATTTGAACAGGCTGCAGCTCTTCCAGACTTTGAGCTGTATTTTCTCACACAACCAAACATCACAATTAGAAACTGAGCATAGAAAGTCCCCAGGGGAGTATGAAAAGGACATCACCTTATGAAAAAGTTTCAGAATGAACCTGTGAAATAAACAGCAACCAGGCAATTGTCTTCTACAGAAGGTGGAATTAACAGTAGAAGAATATAACATCTTAAACAGTCAGTGAGTCAGTCTGAACGTAGAGGGGCACCAGCTCCCTGCAGGTCTGTGCTGAACACACTCTATCCCTAGGGATCTGTGAGGAAAACTAATGGGCAAACCCTGCTGGTCCCCCCCAGCCCCACGGGGAGACTGGGCTGAGGGTCACTCTTCACCAGCTGGGAGATTGTCTTCAATCCTCCGGATGAACTTCATCCTTATCTCTGTGACACTGTCACCCTTCAGTGTGTCCTGGACGAATTTTACGTCCACAGCCATCTGCACCTGGGTGGGGGAAAAGGAGAGAGCAGCTGTTACCTCCTTACAACAGCAGCTTCCCTAGGAACTATCTGATTGTGAAGCACCAGCTGAAGGACTCTGAGGGCATGACAGAAAACACAGGGCTCTAGGGAAGCACATGTTATTTTCCTCCTGGGAATGAATTTCAATTCCAAAGCAAATACTGAAGTCACAAACAGCTTAGACATTAAAATACCTGCTGCTACCTTGGTTATTCATGGATCTCACTGGAAGAGAGATGTTGGCTCACCATTTCCAGGGCCCCTCGAAGCACTCCACACAGAAGGTTGGAATAGATGAGAGAGGAGTGGTTGTCAGGGAGCTCAACGAAGTCCACCAAGGGGTTATTTTCCAAGATCAGGGAGAACTCATCACCTCCAGGGCTCCAGTTGGTGATGCTTGGAGTGATGCCCAGGTACATCTTGAATGCTATCTGAACATCAGAGTGGGAACAAGAACACATCCCATGAAGCCACAGCACAACTCTGGTCTTTGTAAAATTACTAGTCTTGAAAATACAGAATATCATAGAACGTCACCTCTTTCTCTCAATTCCCACCAGTCAGAAGTAGTCAGTGCTCTCTTTTTTTCCTTTCCAAAATCTCAGTCAAACCCTCAGAACACTCCTGTGAGCAGCAACTACTCTATTCTCACAGGTAAAATGTGGCAGAGCCATGGCTGAACAATTACCTTTGCAATAACATCTGCAGTTTCACGGAAATCGTGGCACCTCCCAACGTTGGACCGGGCCAGAAAGTCTTCTATGAGCCTCACCCCGATGTTGTAACCCCTGTGAAGGGACCAAACCTCAGTATTAAACCAACTCCAGGCTGTGAAGCCCACAAGGCTCTGCTGCAGCAGACCCACTCACATCTTGTCGAGCTGCTTGTTGACGTCCTCGTCGTTCTCGTAGTCCTTGCAGAGCTGGGTGACCAGCGCCCCGTAGGTCAGCGTGAAGAGCTCCGAGTTCTGCAGAGAGGCAGGAGGGGTTTAGCAGAAGCCAAAGGGAAAAGGGACTGAGCTGCATCTGTGTCCAGTGCTGCTTCTGTTGGCCCGGAGAGGGGGAACAGAAATCTGCTGTCTCAAAGGAATTTGCTGCTTAACCAGGAGGGATCCCAGTTGGCATTTTGGCAAAGCAGCTGCAGTCTCCTTGGAAAGAGAAATCCTGACTAGGAACAACCTGGCACTTTCTTCCTCTCCACACACAGAGCACTTCCCGTGTCCTGAGTCTGACCCCAGGAGCCAAGCCAGGACACAGCTCACACTGCAGCCATTCTCAGCTGCCAATTAGCATCTCTTTCCTCTGATGAGCACAGCTCAGATACCTGGGATGACACCTCCAGGCCTTTCCACCGACCCCTCCTGGATGGCTCAACCTGCAGTTGCCAGGGACCTGGATTTATTTCAGCCATGACCTGGGGGTGAGAACTGGCTCCAGCTCTGATCCCTGCCCCACGGACACGCTGCCAGTGGCAGCATTAAGGAGGTTCCACTGCTGGTCCTTTGACAGGTCAAACACTTTCCCATGCACTCATCTGGTCCCTGAAAAGTTATCCAGGCACATCATTTGCTTCATACATTAAATCAGCTCCTCAGACCCAGCCAAGGCGCTGTGAGGAGGATCTGGGGTCAGCTCAGCAGATCTCTGTGGGGCACATCTGCTTTCTGTGCCTGACTGGGATAAAATTCCTTGGGCTTTCTCTGCAGGGGTGCCAGATCTGCAGAAAACCCCGAGGGAAGAGTCTCCCCTCCCAGCCACCACTCACCAATCCTTACCAAACCTGAAGCAGTCAGTGCATTTTCTTGGGAGCCATTATGCCAGAACTGTGATTAACACAGTCATTAAAGGCTGCAAGACAAAAACCTACAGCAGGCTTTAGCTTTCCACAGGACCTGAAGGAAGTGTCTTCAGGAACCAATAAACCACCACCATTTATTTCTGCTTTGTTTTAGCATTCAGAAACATTTCAGAGGCTAATCTGGGATTAAAAGCCTATCACCTACCATGAGATGCATAGATGCAGAAGGTGAAATGAATGGCAAATACCAATACTACAGAATGAAAGCAGCAGGCGGCCAGAAAGGGAGGGAAAAGAGACATCAGAGTTAACACGGATCATTCTGAACAGGTTACACAAAAGCCAAGACAAACACGAGCAGGAATCACCAACATTCAACAAACAGAAACTGGGTTTGTTAGAAGAGATGGGGAATTTCACCTTGTCATTGTCAACAGCCATGAGCCACCAAAAGGCTTTGCACCTGAAAAGGACCAGTTGGGCTCCTTGGTGCTTCTGCCTGATTTTCAAGAACTGACACATTCTTTGCTTTTTCTGCTTCCAGTTCTGCTTTCATCTTGGAAAGGTGAAGGTTGTGCAAGTTCACATCCCCCAGACCAGGCGGAAATCCCCTTCAGCTCAACAGGCAGTCAGGTATTTTGGCAGAGAATTTCACAAGCATGCAAAAGAGGTTATGCTACTTTGAAAGATTTTGGTAATTTTAGTAGAGACAGGGCTTGGCAGCTGGGGAGAGTGTGGGTGAATGGATGGCAGAAACCCAACTGTTCCCAGTCCAGGATGGTGTCATTTACCCTGTCCAGCCATGAAGCTGTCACCTCCTGCTGTCAGCCCCAGGGCTGGTCAGAGGTATTTCCATCAGTTATTTCTATAGTTACCTGCTATTCAGGTAACTTTACAGTGTTAGAACAAGGCGAAACTTCTAAATTAATGTTTTATGAATTAACTCTTTGTTTTCAGCCCATCAAATAGAATTAAACTGCCCAACAGTTTTCCCTTTATTTCTATTTCTCCGTATTGCAGACTTGTGTAGAGCTTCAATGTCAGGATGCTGATCAAGTGCCACCAATTCCTTAAGTGAAAATCGCTGTATTTGAAGAGTTTCGGTCCCCGCGGGGCAGCGGGGCCGGAACCAGCCCCGGCAGCTCCGCGCGGAGGCAGAAAGCGCAGGTTTTACTGCTGCTGGTTTTCAGATACGGACGGTGCAGCGAAACCGGATTAGCTCGAGCTGGTCTGAGCAGAATCAGCGCTGGGCTCTGCCGTCCCGCTCCCCCGCGCTCCCCTCTCAGCCGGG